GCCCGGCCACCCACCGAGCTGCGGGCGCCCCCGCCGGCCCGAGCGGGAGAACCCGAGGCGGCCCCAGCTCACTCGGTGCCCGGCGCGGACGGCGCGGAGCCACCGCAGATGCGTAGCCAATGCCCCCTCCTCCTGGTCATCTCTTCCTCCCTGGGGCGGCAGGGAACCATGTAGTTTGTTGTTCTGTTTTTATTTCCTTCGGTACAGCACTGGGGATTGAACCCAAGACCTCTGCACTGAGCTGCATCTCCAGCCTTTTTTTATGCATGTATCTATGTATATATTGAGACGATGTCTACATTGCTTAGTCGGGGGCTGGGGATTTAGCTCAGCGGCACAGCGTCTGCCTGGCAAGCGCAAGGTTGTTAGTTCAATTCCCGGTACTGGAGAAAAAACAAAAATAAATAAATAAATAAATTGCTTAATCGCCGGGCGTGGTGGAGCATGCCTGTAATCCCAGCACCCGGGAGGCTGAGGCAGGAGGATCGTTGCGAGTTCGAGACTAGCCTGGGCTACAAAGTGAGCTCAAGGCCAGCCTGAACTGCATAGCGAGACCCTATCTCAAAAAGACAAAAAAAAAAAAAAAAAAAAAAAATCAGTCGGCGCTCGAACTTGGCCATCCTCCTGCCTCAGCCTCCAGGAGTGCAGGAATGACCGGCATGTGCCAACACCTCCATGTGGTTCTGATTGCTAGGGACCTCTGTGAGCCCGGGTTTGTTCATCTACAAAGTTTTACACTTGGGGTATAGCGAAAGGAATGCACGCTGATTCGTGGTCAGAGCGGTCAGTGCGAGTCAACCCCTCGCCCGCTGCTCTGTGGTCCACGAGTAGTGCAGCCTCTGCGCCGCGCTCTGGTCTGCACAATGGAGCTCACTCTGCACAGTAGGCTTGGAGATGGACATCTCTCGGTTTATGTCTGGAGGACTGCTCATGCAGGGTTGGGGAGAAATGAAACAGGCTTTTTGTTGGGGTTTTTTTTGGGGGGGGGCGCGGTTGTTGAGGCAGGGTCTCACTCTGTAGTTCAAGCTGACCTTGAACTCATTATGTAGCGCAGACTGGCCTCAAACTCCCAGCGATCCTCCTGCCTCAGCCTCCTGAATGCTAGGATTGCAGATGTGTACCTCCGCGTCTGTCAATAAACTTTTAAAATGCAAGAGTTGGTGCTCACTTTGGCAGCACACATATTAAGATTAGAACAATGCTGAGAAGACTGGTATGGGTCCTGCCCAAGAATGACTTGCAAGTTGGTGAAACATTCCCTGTTAAAAATAAACAAGAGTGGGCGTGGTGGCTCACATTATAATTCCAGCACTCTGGGAGACCGAGGCAGGAGAACTACAAATTCAGAGCCAGCCCGAGCAATTTATAGGCTTAACAAGGCTATGTCAAAATGAAAAATATAGAAAGGGCTAAGGATGTAGCTCACGCAAAAGCGCTGGGTTCCATTGCAGGTATGGAAGAAAAGTTACAACTGTATCATTATTTGAAAGTTCATTTGCCTATTGTTTTATTAGTTAAATCCTAAATTCTTTCACAAGAACTACTTATGCTACTTGGTATCCTCAATATTTTTCATACTTTGTATTTGTGTTTGCAGCGTTACAGATAAAGAAACAGGGGAGTCGCTGTCATGGAGCAGGCGGAGGAGGCCCCGGGCAGGCCCTGTGCCCACCAGCTCCCTCCACTTTGCATTCAGCTGAGAGGCTTTGTGTTTTTATTTCTCAAGAGAAATTATTAAATACTTGGGTTTAAAAATACTGACAGCCTGGGGCTGGGATGTAGCGCTTGCTGAGCGTGTGGGTTCTGCCCCCAGCAGTGCCCACCGCCAAAGAAACAAAAGTATTGATGAGTCAAAAAAAAAAACAACCCTTGAAAACACAAAGCAAATCAGAAACCTAGTCCGTAGGTCGGAGTCACCCGGTCAGTGGTCAGCGCCTTTTCTTAAATCTCCTCAACCCGTCACCAGGTCCTAAAGAGCTAGGGGTTCACGCCACTTCCAGGGTGGGGTTGCTGGGGCTCCCAGCTCACACAGCCTCAGCCATGGCAGGTACCAGGAAGAAGCCTCCTTTGGGCCTCTTACAGTGCGTGCTGTGAGCCACCGGCCCAGAAGTGTTCGGGGCTGGCAGCTTTCGGTGCTGCCCGTCAGCCCCCAGCACCCAGCTCTGCCGGGCTGCGGTGTGGAACAGAACCCTGACAGGAGAGGGAGAGAGGCTGGAGGGAAGGGCTCTGCCTGTGACATTCGTCACTGCTGAGAACGAGGGTCAGAAATAGTCCATTTAGCCACGGCTTCCGGCCAAAGAGCTCCTGAGTAGCACCACAGCTGTCACCTCCCTGGCTAGTGGTCTAAAACGCTCCTTAAAAAAATGTCCTGTGCCTCCACAGCTTGCCAAGTACTGGATTAAGTGTCTAGACCCTGATTCAAGGAGTAAAATGCTCTTTCTTTAATAATTATGTGGCCAGGTCAGGTGTGATGGCAGTAATCCCAGCACTCAGGAGGCTGAGGCAGAAGGATCCTTGCAAGTTTGAGACCAGCCTGGGCTACAAAGTGAGCTCAAGGCCAGCCTGAACTGCATAGTCAGACCCTGTCTCAAAAAGACCAAAAAAAAAAAGTGTATGTAAGAAGTAGATATTTACCCCATCATATCTCTAAAGATGGAACAGATAAACAACAAAGAGAGGGGACAGGTAGGGCACTGATCTGACTTTGAGCTCAACATGATTTAATGATAATAGTAATGATGATAATAATAATACAGCTGCCTAGAGGTATAGCTCAGAGGTGGAGAGTGTGATTAGCATGCACCAGGCCCCAGGGTTCAGTCCCCAGCACCGAAATCATATTAACGTAGGTAACAGCAGGATGGGTGCCTGGCACATTACTGGGCACTGTTATATGTGTGCTGTGTGCTGCAAGTGGATCCTTTTAGAAATTTAGCTGAGATTACTTGATAATTTCTTTCTGGCAGTGCAGTCAGGAAGTTCTGTCTGTTTCTACTTAAATAACACCCTGTTGCCAGGCATGGTGATAAACTAACTAGGGAGGCTGAGGCAGGAGGGTAAGGCAGGGAAACTTAGCCAGTCCCTGTCTCAAAATGAAAAATAAAAGAAGGGCTGAGGATGTAGCTCAGTGGCAGAGCACTCGGGTTTGACCCCCAGTACTGCAGAAAGAAAAAGTTGAACCAAGGCCTGACACAAGACGTTGTCACTACATCATGGTGGTGTGGACGTTGCTGCTGACGCGCACACGGCCCAGACACTAACGTGAAACTGTCCAGTGTGTTGTGCGGCCACAGCAACCACCCCCCAAACGCCTGCTGTTTGCCTCCCTGCCTCTGGGGATCATTCGTGTTCTCTTTTGTTCCAGAAGAGACTTCATTGCCCCATGCATGCGGGGCTGATCTGCAGCTGGGACCTTACCTCCCGTCACACTGGCCCCTGCTTTTCTGCATTCCCCTTGCAGTTCTTTTTGTTGTTGTTGTTGTTGTTTTTTCCAGTACTAAGAATTGAACTCACAACCTTGCGCTGGCCGGGCAGGCGCTGTGCCACTGAACTAAATCCCCAGCACCCCCCTTGCAGTTCTGACCTGGCTTTGACTCGGCCAGGAGCTCACTCCTCTCCCCGCGCTCTCAGAGGAGCAGCCTGTTGCTCCTGGTCTCCCCCAGGCTCTGCCCTACCCCCCTGCCATGTTTACCTGATATTTTATTTTATTTTTATTATATAGTGAGCCATTCACACTATAATGTGTGAAGGGAGAGAGGCTTTGTGCTTTCTTGAGCTGCTGCTACTTCATCAAAGCTGATGGTTCCTTTTTTTTTTTGAGACAGGGTCTCACTGTGTAGCCCAGGATGGCCTTGAACTCATAGCAATCCTCCTGCCTCAGCCTCCTGAGTGCTGAGACCACAGGAGTGTACCACCACACCCGCCTTCAGGTCTCACTAGTTTGACCTGGTCTTAAACTCACTCTGTAGTCTAAGCTGGCCATGAACTCCAGGCAATCCTCCTGCCTCAGCCTCCCAAGTACTGGGATCACAGTCATGTGCCACCATGCCAAGCCCATGTTTACCTTGTGTCTTCTACATTACCTGGCACATGTAGTTGTTGGGGCCCAGGCTAGGCGACTGGGGTCCCACTCCGAGGCCTGTGCGGCCTGCGTTAGGAGCAGAGGAGTACGTGAAAGGCCATGTGCTGCCTGGCTGTGCAGAGAAAGCTCAGAACCCCAGCGTGCGCAAGGCGACACCTGCTGAGGACAGCATGAAGAACGCGGGCACCCAGGCACGGAGAAGGGCTTGTCCCCATCTACTGAAGTTGCCCTTCTGTGA